TTTCAAAAGTTTTCAAGACGAAAAGGTGGGAATCAGTATGAGTAGTACATTGAGTATAAAAGTTAGATCGTGATCAAAGGTATGTATATGAGTTATGCTTAGGGTGGAGGTTCAGTAGCCTTAATATGACATCCTAAGTAAGTTCAACCGCTTTGGGTGGAGGTGCAGTAGCCTTAATATGCCATCCCGAGTTCTGGTGAAGGCCAGCCTTCATCAGAGTGTGCACATGGTTACGGACAAAGTGTTCGAGAGATTTAGTTCAGTTATCGGCCTATGGCTGGGAGATTACAGTTTACTTATATATACCTGAGATCATGATTCTGAGATTGATATTATTTGTTTCCACTGAGTACAATTGAGTAAGTACTCATTCCCCACTAATATCATTTTCAGGTAAAGGGTCGGTTCGAGGATGTGAGTCAAGCTATCGTGGTGTTGGTTGAGTTTTCAAATATGATTTCACTTGCAAAATGGATTTTATATCAAGTTATGAGTTTATTAAAGTGTGCTTGTGAAATTCAATAAGGCAACGATTTGTATATGCCACGCTTAAAGACTTCCGCTATGTATAGTAAGTTTGAACTGGTGTGATTTAAAGGTGTTATTTAAGAAAGTTTTCTCGTTTATTTTATAAATGAGATAAGTTATCATACTTGTTTAATAAAGATGAGTTTTAGTAGCATCCTGAGTTAAAATAAGTTGCGAAAAATTTACTCTGATAAGCGGGGTGTTACAGAGGTGCCCGATAGCTTTGACACACCTCAGCTTATTGAAGGAAAGTTAAGGATAAGAAGGAAGCTAAGGAAGGATCTAGATGCTGACTAAGAAGTGGACAGAATATGAACCGACCGGGGCATTCTGGACATTTCCATTGAGTCGGCCGGGGTATTTTGGGACTTCAGGTAAATATTGCACTTCTATATAAAGGACTGAGGTAAGCCCAAAACCCTAACTCCCATTCATTCCATACATTTCTATTACTGCTGCTGCTCTCATAGCAGCCCCCATCATCTCTCTCACATACTGACTTGAGCGTCGGAGGCTCTACGCCGGAAAAACCCTCCGGCGTTGAGTTCTTGCAGGTGTTCATGCGATTCAGCAACGGCTCGAAGGTCATCAGGCCAGATCTAAGCTCATTCATACCGGTTCATCCCAGATCCGGACGTTTTCTTAACAAACCGTTCCAGATCTGAGAGCAGACCCATCAAATAATAATAATAATAATAATAATAATAATAATAATAATAATAATAATAATAAGGCAATTAATAATATTTATACATTTAATAGAAATTTAGGACAAATAGGCAAGTAGACATCAAATAATATTAATAAAAGTAATATTATTAATAAATAAGCAATAATAGATATAATAAATAATTCTAAAATAATTCTCCAATAAACGGGGCGTTACAATTTATATATATAAAGAGAACATATTTATCAAAAATAGTAGCAAAGAAAATATGTCAAAATTTAATGCAGCCCATAAATAGTAATTTTTATTATTTTCTTAATTTTTTTTTTGAAATCATACAATTTAAATTATAAATACGCATATAATCATACAATTTAACCATACAATTTATATATAAAAATTATACAATTTAATTTTTTTCTTTATAATACGCTTTAATATATATATATATATATATATATATATATATATATATATATATGCTTTAAAAATCATACAATTTAGAGTAATTTTTCTAATAAATTCAAATAAAATGTGTTAGTTAAATATCAAAATAATTTAAAAATTCAAATGTTAAACTAATTGATAAACAATTTATAAATATATATTTTATTTAGATATGTAATTTTATTTAAAATAATTTTAAATGTAGTAAAATTTATTTAGAAAATCGTATTTATCCTACCAGTTCAACCGACTGGTGTTGACGGATTTAATGACAAATATTTTATTCAAGCGAACTAACTGGTTATAAACCGATTCTCGGTCTATCCAATCAGACTGTGTCCAACACGGTTTAATTAAAAAACAATGGCCAAATATTGATTAATTTATTTGTATATTTAATTTATAATACAATCGTAATATTGTTTTCCCGCGCATCGCGCACGGGTCACGCACTAGTACGGGATAATAGCCCAATTCACACTGAACGGCGCCGTCTTGGAAGCCCTGTTCCCATAAATACCAACATATACAATGAAAAACAGATTGTTGTGAAGAAACAGAAGTCGGAAAAAAAAAAAAAAAAAAAGAAAAATTATAAGCAAAATCGATTCAGAATTGAACGACTTTATAATCGAGATACAAGAGCTCAGCTGCATATCGTATTCGTATTCCATCTTGAAGATAACCGTATTGCAAAATGGTATGTGATGTCTCTCTCTCTCAGTTGCTTATATGATTCATTTATTTGTAGGTGCTAGGGTTTGTAGCTATGATCAAACTGAAAATTTGGTCTAACATGTAAATTGGAAGTTATTTTAATTTGTGTTACGTAATACCTGAGATTGTTGAGTGATGGGGATCCATAATTATTTGAGATCCGTTTGCTGTTCTTGTTGCCTATTTTTTTGTTCGACCTAGGGTTTGAGAAGGTTTTCTTATTCATCAATTATTTGATCGCATCAAAAGCTAGAATTGTTGAAAAGAATCTATGCTGATTTATTTTAAGATGCAAGAATTTTTTATTTTGATATACTGAATTCAAGCATACAACATTTGTTTATGTACAATACAGTGCTTCCGATAAGTTATATTTGGCATCTATTACTACTCGTTTGTTTTTAGCTATGAACGAGTTTGTCATCGAAGCAGTCATTACTTGCGTTTTGGTATTGTTTATCACGAGCAAATCTTATTTGAGTTATTAACCTTTTTTGTTTGGTTTTTGCAGTCTTCTCTTGCAGCCGCCAGGGCAGATAACTTTTACTATCCACCAGAATGGGAACCAAAGAAGGTATACTTCTAGTATAACCTTATCAAAAGCTTTTGCTGCGTGCAAATATGTCTATGCTTCAGATTCATGTATTGCTTTTTTCAGGGTGGGTTGAACAAGTTCCACGGTCAGCATGCTCTGAGGGAGAGAGCAAGAAAATTAGATCAAGGCATCTTGATTATAAGGTACGACTCCATCTGAGTTTGATCATTAGCTTCGGGCGTACTTTGTTCCTTTAAGCGTCTAATTCAAAGAGGTGTTTGAATTTAGTTTGTTGAATTCTGGATGCCCAATTAGAGGGTTAAGGGTGAGTGCATTAAGATTGGGTTGCATATGCTTGCTTTTTCTCATCATTGATAGTTTGAATACTGCTGGATATAATAGTATGAATAAGAGTTTTTGCAGGGCAAAAGTTATATATTGCGTCATAATTTTTATAGTACTTGAGTTTCTTGATTGCGCTAACATTTTTAGTTAAACTGGATATTGAATAATTCCTTCTATTCAAATGTACATTGTAACCAGGAGATTTTTAAAAATTTTGCATTTTTTCCAAATCGGCTTTCTTTCTTTCTTTATTACTTTTAATGAAATGTAGAAAATTTATTTTGAACATGTGACAATATACAAGTATAGAGATAGTTTATAGGGAAAAAAACAAGCAGAGGTTCCACAAACGTATGACGTACCTGCCAACATTGCACCCAACAAATCCAAAAGTAAAGAGTTTCCCAAACCACTCCTAACAATAAAATAAAAAAATAAAACCTCAACAAAGCTACGGGGTAAGGAAAATTTGAAAGACAGAAGAACACTCCTAATGAACACAAGAAGCTCAGACCATCAGCAGCAAGCTGGGCGTTTAGGCCTAGGCCTACGCGTAGAGAAGTCTTTTCTCAGGTCCAAAGAAGAATAGTAAGAAAAATTAGTTAAAATTAGGGAACAAGAATTGAACACATCTAAAAGTTTTAAATATTTAGGATCCATTATAGAAGATAATGTCAACATAGATAAGGATGTAACACATAGAATTCAATCGGGTTGGAACAGGTAGAGGAGTGCGTCGTCGATAGTTTGTGATCGTGTAGTACCAGTGAGTTTGAGTTTGAAAGGCAAGTTCTATCGAACCTACATTCGATTCGACCGACGATGGTTTATGTATTCAATGTTGGGGCTACTAAATGTGGAAATGATCAAAAAAATGCGAGTGGCGGAGATAAAAATGTTGAGATGGATGTGTGGGTATATTAGGTTAGATAAGAGTAGAAATGAAAGTATTAGAAATAAAGTTGGAGTAGCGCCCATAGAGGCAAAATTTCAATTTTAGTCCACTATGGTGGCACTTTTCCAAAAATGGTCCATCATACAGGGTGTCTTAAGAATAGGTCCAAGATGTTGCCATTTTAATCAAATTTCATACAATTTTCGGGATGGAGTGATAAAATGCTGACATGGAGGGATTAATTTATGACATGTAAGGTAAATTTCATATGTGGATGGATTCAACCAGATTAATTTATGATATGTAAGGTAAAAGTCCTACGTGTCAGATGGACCTAAAAGATAGTTTTTTCTCGCTGGCAAATCTCATACGCAAGATCCAAAAATTAGGGTTTCATCTGCCATCCCAAACGCAAGATCCAAAAATTAGGCCCCACCCAGGAACAAATTGGCGAATTGAGAGTCGACGACCTTGGTGCTGGAAGTCGGGGTGGCGGAGGGGAAGATTTCCGGCTGCAAAGAGGCGGCGGAATTCGGGGTTTTTTCGGGCGTGCGAATTATGGACGAAAACGGGTTTCTATTGACTGTGGGCGGGCGGGCTTTGATCCAAAACCGCCTTCGGCTGCCACTCCCAGGAATTCATTTGTGCTCGGCGGCGGGCTGTGATCTGAGGTTGGGGCCAAACGGAGGCGGCGGTGATGTGGGGTTGGAGCTGAACATAATAGGGTGCGTGGTGGTGGTGTGGATAGATTAATTTTGACTTGTCACCTGTACAATTGTAATACACATATAATACACATGTACACATATGCTGAATTTTACCTTACACATCATAAATTAATCCATCCATGTCAGCATTTTCCGCCTTGAAAATTGTATGAAATTTGATTAAAATGGCAACATGTTGGACCTTTTTTTAAGACTCCCTATATGACCATTTTCGAAAAGTGCCAACATAGTGGACTAATAATGAAATTTTGCCCGCCCATAGATGAGAAAATGAGAGAATCACAATGAAGTTGGTTTGAGCATGCGCATAGCAGACTTTGAGGCACCAGCGAAAGAGGATATGTGCATTGACCAAGCACGATTGTGATCCATATATTCGACCTCAGCGGTTTGTTGATTGATTGATTGATTTTCCAAAAAAAAGATAAAAGACCATCAACCCTGAGCAGATGGAATGGTGATAGTAGGAGTGTCCGACCCACGCTAGAGCATCATATTCAACAAACCCAATCATATGGTAAATTGTATATGTAAAAAAATTCAAATCCAACATTTTACACTCTGGAATCCAGCAAATAAGACCTGCAAGGAGAACAAAGAATGAATAGAGCTCAAAGGAGGTCGTGGGCCTTTGGAATAAATTCAGGTGGGCATGAAGCTCAAAATTTATATTAAACCCCTAAAACAGATCCCTCTTTGAACTACCCGGAACAGGGAACAGGAACAAAATTGGGGTATCACAGGCCTTGTTAAGATTGAGGGCGGCAGTCCAAGTTTAGAACCGAAGCCCAGAAAGACCCCCTTTGAGAAGAACGAGATGTATTAAATGAAATTTTCTAAACTAAAAATTAATTCCATTTGAGTGAAAAAGAGAGTACATTACCTTGTATACCTGATTCCTGATTCAGGATTCCGCAACAACGGCCACGGAAGGGGTTCTCAGAAATATGAACGCATTCCAAGACTTCCAGATATGATGGATACTACAGCATAAAAAGCGACCGTACTGGCCTTGTGAATTATTGTACCTCCTTTCTCTATTTTTTACCCATTTGTTAGCTCTAGCAATGGAGGTCATAGATTGTTTGAAATTCTGCCATCAGCGAACGAAATCCTGAACCAGCTTTTTTGTTCCTATTTATAATGGAGTTTGAGTCTCATTTGTTAGCTCTATCCCTTGTAATTACTATCATTTTTCCCAAGTAACGTCTTATTGCAATTTTGACATAAATTTCTATTGAAGAATATTGATCAGTAGTGGTCGGAAGTATGATGCTACTGATTATGCCGTGAATAATGGAATACTGAAATAACATTTAATGTTGTCAAATTGATGAGCTTATGAAATCCTTCTTGGGTGTTTTTAGATATTCTATGTTCATGACTTTCATGGTATACTTCTGTACAGGTTTGAGATGCCCTTTAATATCTGGTGCGGTGGATGTGAGTCCATGATTGGCAAGGGTGTGAGGTTTAATGCAGAGAAAAAGCAAGTGGGGAATTACTACTCAACAAAGGTATCATATTATTTTTTAATCTGTTTTTGGTATTTTTTTTTTCTGTTTTTTTAGTACTACTGTTGGTTATGACGGCATTCCTTTTCCAGATATGGAGCTTCACAATGAAGTCCGCGTGCTGCAGGCATGAGATTGTCATTCATACCGATCCACAGAATTGTGAGTATGTTATCATCAGTGGGGCCCGAAAGAAGGTTGAGGAATACGATGCTGAAGATGCTGAAACTTTGGTGCTCCCGGTCGATGATGGTGAGTATTGTTGTGCAGCAGCCAATTTGGTACATTCTATATATGTTGAACAAGCCGCCTATGTTTTATGTTGATGGGATAGAGAAAGGGATAATTACAAAATTATCCCGATTTTTCTCCCGAAAAATCTAACTCTTCTTCTGTTTATCAGATACAAGCAAGCTCTCGGATCCTTTCAAGCGTCTCGAGCACCAAGAAGGCGACATTAAGAAGAAGAAAGAAGCCGAACCCACTCTCGTTCGCCTTCAGCGGCTTTCCGACTCGAGGCACTCGGATGACTACACTATAAACAGGTCTCTTCGGGCCAGGCTCAGGGACCAAAAGAAACGAGTGGCCCAAGAAGAGGCCGATTCCAGGAAATCGGGCCTTGGAATAAGACTGCTCCCGACCTCCAAAGATGATGCAGCTGCTGCGTCGCGCATCAAATTCGCCACCAATTTCGAGAGGAATAGGAGAGACAAGAGGGCACTGATTCAAGCAGCTTCGATTTTTTCTGGGCCGTCCAATTCATCGGGCCCACAAAGAAGGCGTTTGGAGCTTGAGGCCAAGAAGAGAAAGATAGATGCTACCAAGGCATCGAGATTGTTGGGTGGGGGAATTAAGCCTTCGTCGTGGGCTCGGGCTTAAGGCAGTTACATATCTCATCTCTGCTATTTTCGATTTATGGAAAATATGGTCCTAAGGGTGAAGGATCGGCTAAAAATCATCTGGCTTGGTTCAATATTGTGTTTGGGAACTCGCTATTACTTTTTGGTGTGTATATTTTTGTATTGATACAAGCTAATGCTAGTATAAATCTACGAAACTATCTTATGCTTTTTTTTTTTTGCTCGTCTTTTCTTCCTCTTCTTTTTTCGACTGAATGTGATTACTCTTAAATAGTAACTTTTATTGTAATGCCCTCGTTTATTTATGGATATTTTTGGTAATTGTTATTGCATTATTATTATTATTTATATTGCTTGTCTAATTGTAGTTAAATGATTAATAATATTAAATAAATATTATTGCGTGGGAGCCAAGAGATAGAGAGCCAAACCCGATCGTATGTCGTAAACCCGTGCGCCCCACGTCCTTCACCCGCGTTGTACCCGAATCGGTGGCGCATGATGCAGCACGGCGTGGACCGCAGACAGTTTCCGGTGGCGCATGATGCAGCACGGCGTGGACCGCAGACAGTTTCGTGGCGCCTAGAGATCGAGTTCTGTAGTCCGTGGCAGGTGCCACGACGTGAGCTCTGTCGTGAGCTCTGTCGCGGCGCTGGGCCTAGGGCTAGACTAGGCCTGGGCTGCTTGCGCGACTTCACATTTCGGGCTCGTTTGGGCTTGTCCGAACTCGAATCAAGTTTTTCTTTTTTTTACTTGTTGCCGACGAACCTCTCTACTTAATTACGCTTGCCCGACTAATATTTTCTTTAAATCTTATCTTCCCGAAGCTTCCGACCTGTACACCATAAAATAAAACAAAAACGAAGAAAACCGAAAAAACACACGAAAAACACATAGAAGATCAAAATAAAGAGAAACACACAATAAACCACAAAAAAAAATAAAAAAACAAAAAAATACCTAAAACGGGAAAAAAGAAAGCCAAAACAATAACAAAAAACTAAACAAAAATGAGACAAACAAGCAACCTACACACCCGTGGATTGGACAACGCAGCAGACCCGTCGCAAGGATCCTTTGTCCTCTCGCAAGCAGCCGAATCCACCATCGCCAAAGAGCTTCAATTGCCATCAACCATTGTGGCAGACCCGCGAGCAGAGTTAAATAGAGCAGCAACCCCGTTCGCGAGCGTAAACTATGCATGAGTCGAGTCCGAACTGAAGTCTAGTTTCATTTGTTCGTTGCCAACCGGGCTTGTAGATTCCCGAAGGAAGGTAGTTCGACGAACCTCCTTTTTATTCTCGTGTTTATATTCGTTATCATTGATTCCGGAATCTGTTGGTTGATCGGAGTTTTATTGTTGGAATTTATTATTTTCGTTTTTTGCCTTTGTGGAGTTTATTTGGATTTGGATCTCTTATTACAAAAGTCGAGCCTTTTGTTGTAAATTTAATCGTGCGTTTTTAGCCTTGGATTAATTCCCGATCTGTCATTGTGGTTGGTGACGTTTATTTTGTTCAAGCCTTTAAACCGTCGTTTCATTTTTGAGCTAAACCCAATTTTTCTATAATTTTTGGAACACTGAATTTTTGTCGTAAATTTTTATTTTTGTATCGAACCCCGATTCTACGTTTGATATCGTCGTCGGAGGATTTTCTGTAGTAAAGTCCAAAGGTGCAGCAGCTGACCCTTTTTCCCATAGCCAGCCCATCATCAGTGAGCCTAGCATGGTCCAGGCGTGTTGGCCCTCTGTTGCTGCAGCCTAGCGAAATTACGAGTGCGCGAGCCCCATTTTGGCGAAGACCACTGTGTAGCCCAACGGGAAAGTAGCCAGGCATCCTAGCCCGCGCGAAGCCCACACGCAGCCCGTCTTCTCCCTTTTGCTCGGCTCATGAACCCACCTCTCAGCCTGCGCTCGACCGGCGAGATTTAGACTTGAGCCAAAGTTCGCGGCCCAAATTTTCATGCCTTGCGGCCCATTTCCCGCTGCAGCGGCCCAACATCGCCTGTGGTCTTTTCCCAGCGCAGCCCAACTGCCGTGTTGTGAACTCCCGTTCATTCGTTTTTCCTTCGTGCCGAAATTGTTTTTAAAAAAAATGTGAAAATGCTTGGAAAATTATTTTTAAGTCTCGTGATTTTTCAAGTCTCATTCTTTAAATTTTGAGAGTTCCAAAGTCCAAAAAAAAAAAAAAATAATAAAAATAAGAATTGATAAAAACCATTAGTCCTAAATTTTTGATTAAGTGGAAAATTCACTAATTTTTAGGGAAATGAGATAATTTATTTTTGAAAATTATCTCGTTTAATTTTAGGTTTATGATGTGTCGAGCCCTCTAACATATCATGAGCACTTGTGTAACCGCCATTTCCGAACGGAGGTGGGTGTTGATACACTTTACTACGCTTTTATTCTATATAGTCGCATGATTTTATAGTTAATGTATGTATGTGAACCACTAGTCTATGAGAGGTTCTCCCGTAGATTGGTTTGCTAGAGGTTTGGCTCCCGTCGATGGGTAATGCCGATGGTAAAGTTGTGTACACATGAGCGTTGGGCAGTGTATGAGGTAGATGTGGTGATTTTGTTTTCATGCTGCGATTATGTCTTCAGTTGTTATATTGAATATTTTGCATGGTAATTCCCACGGTGAGCTTGTGTTTACTCACCACCACTATTTCTATCTTTTCAAGTTGAGCTGCTGGCGGTGGTGATGATTGGGCGAGTGTGGTCGCTCTGCTTTAATAAACTATGTTTATTATGCATCCGCGAATGTTTTCCTAAACTTGTGTGTTTTGGATTTGAAAAGATGATCTAGTTTTATTTGATTTGATTCGAACTTTATTGACTGAGTATTTTTGGGATTATGTCTCGACTCTGGAAATATAATTTTGGACTTGAGTTCCCAATGACTTAAGTTATGTCTTAAGCTAAGTGATTACTTAATGTTATTTTTTATTAATGCCCGGAAAATAACTTTAACTGGAAAATGATTTTTGAAAAATTTATTCCTATTTTTGAAAACTTTTTTCTCTTTAAAAAAAAAACGGGACATTACAGTTTTAATAAATAAAACTGTTATGAAATCAAAATAACCAAAAAAAAAAAAAAAATTAATAATAAAAGTAGAAACATATACTTACCAAAATATAAAATTTGGACAAAAAAACATACTCAGTCGGCTTCGTTTGCTATAGTGTAACCTGACAGTCACTAAAGTGCATTCCGTCTAACACTAACGTGCACTTAAAGTGCATTTATTTTTTGTTTTTGTTGATTTTCTCAACCTAAACCAATAACAGAATAATTGATTTTTTTGATTGGTCATTCAAAATAACATAAATATACGAAATAATATATAATTTATATTAGAAAAAATATTTATTATTTTAATGTTTTATATTTAATAAATTATATTATTTGTTGTACGAAAGCATAATATATTTATGTAAAAAAAAACAAATGTAATATTTTTATATAGTTTGGACGGATTGGTTAGTTTGGTTGTTTTAAAAAATAATAAACTTTTAAAAGTAAAAACAAACTTAGTACCATATTAGTGTACTTATAAGCGGGATTATTTGTGTTATGGTTATGTGCATTATTGAATTCGTTACTGTGCATTCAGTATATCAATGTTGTGCACTAATTACATGTAATTTTTAATATGCATATACACAAGTTACACATTAACATTTTAAGTATTGTGCATTTTCACTTATCATCAATATGAATTTATTAGAAGATTATTATATATTTGCCCACAATCAAAATCAATAAATTTGCAAATAGATCCTTGGACATTATCGATTTTTGTTTTTAATAAAAGACCCTTAACCGATTTGCAGCCACCATCATCCAATCTGCAGATAACTGAATGTGGCAAAGTCATCTCGGATCGACCGCAACTTGAGGTGTTGGGTTCTATGAGGAACGTCAAACAACATGCACAGTATTGAACTTATCGAAATAAATTCTAACGCAGCGGAATCTATAGTTAGGATATGGACATTACCTTTTTAAAATATTTGCCGACTAAGAGACGATGTAGAATACCGTTGATGTAGTTCGTTTGAACACTACAATCTAATGGGCAGATAGATTTGGCCTTTACTCGATTCTAATCGAGAATTCGGATTGGACTCGATCACACGGTGCGTGGGTCTTGGTTTCGAGTGCAGCGGCTCGGTTGCGCGCTTGGTCGCTGGCAGGTCGCGGGCGACGTGCGAGTGATGCGCGTCTGGAGCTGGGCGTGAACGCGCGAGGTGTAGGCGAACGCGGACGGGCGCTGGCAGTCGCTGGGCGTGTGCGCGCACGTGGTGCGCTATGCCTATGCCGAAGCAGACGAGCGTGCGCGTCTGGGATCACGTGGGCGTGCGTGAGAAGGAATCCTGGACGCTCGCGGACTGGTGCACGCGTACTCCTTGCGCAGGGGTAACGAACGCGAGCGGGCGACGTGCAGCGGGTGCAAACGGCGAGCAGATGGGCGTTGCGCGAACAGGCGTGCGGTGCCTGGGCTATCGCGCGGTGATGCTGGGAGTCGCTGGCGGGGCCTGGCGCTGCGCGACTGCGTGCGGTGGCGTGCGGTTGCGCGTGGCCGGGCTCAGGCAATGTCCGGCGGCGATGGGCGATTTCCAGCAGCGATCGACGGCGGACGGCTGGAGAGGATAACCGAAAATATATGTATAGAGGGGCTCGAATATATTATACCCAAATTCCTTCTAACGGTTTACCTAAACACCTACTTCAACTAATCTTGGTGGAGCGATTAATCGAATCTCCCTAACTCTTGAACAAAGCTCTTTCTCTGGTGTATGTAGGAGAAAAGTCGGCCAGCTCAAGGTCTTGTGCAAGAGGTTGGGACTTGGTGTATTTATAGGCTCCATTAGGGGCCTTAAGGAGTTGCTAAATATGGGCTTATCCCATTAGGCCAAGGAATCCTAATTCTACTCCATCTCTTAATCCAAACTAGGATAGAACTCTCTTACACTCATCACCTTCTAGAAGACTCCCACGTCTCC